TTATCCAAACCTAATTACGAAGCATGATTCTTCGCCAAATAGGATTCCGAAGCACCAGAAACAGCCACGTAGGCTCAGCGCATTCTGGAATTATATATAGGGAGGATATAGTCATTAGACTCGACACTAATAACCATTGACTTTTAGGCCATCTTTGTGGAAAAGAGAAGATAAAAATAGAAGAGGCTGGAAGAGAGGAGAACCACTAAACCAGTAGTGGCTACTCCACGTAGCACTTCAGCAAAATCAAGCAGAGGAAAAAGAAAAGTGCATAAAATGATCTAGAAAGTGAAGACAATTCTCAGATATGTTGTCAGGAGGTAGCAAGAAGCAAAAGTTGGAAATGGAAAGGGTGAGGGAGGCCAACCCAAATTGGCTCCCAACCCCCTCAATGAATGCAGCGGTGTTGAATTGTAGAGGGCTGAGTGGTCCCTTTATAATTTTCCAACTTAAGAAGGTCTGTCGACTCCACTATCCAACCTTCATTTTTCTTTTAGAAACCAAAAAAAAAAAAAGAAAAATTTGTTAATACAATAGCTAAAAATCTAGGTTTAGGTGAGAGATAGGTAGTGGTTGATCCTGTGGGTAAGAGTGTGGGTCTTTTTTGGAGTTGGGATCAATCTATCCAGATTATTATCATTATTAAAATTTCCTTTTACTTTCAAGTCCAGTATTGGGATAGTGTGCATCAAGCTAGTATGTGGGGCGATTTTTGTCTATTTAAGTACTGATTTAAACCATAGAAAATCCCAGTGGAACTATCTTTGTGTTGAAAAAAGTAAATGGTATGACAATTGGTTTGTGGGGTGGGGGTGGGAGGTTGGAATGACCTGATATATCATTCAGAGAAGCAAGAGGGTAAGAAGAGATCTGAGAATTCCTTTAAGTGATTTAGGGATTTTATAGCTGATATGGAGATGCCTGAGTTGAATCATATAGGGCACAAATTCACTTGGGCTAACAGAAGAGATGGAGAGGGTTTTGTCCAAGAGAAGTTAGATATGATTTTCAGTTCTCTCTCTTGGAGTTCAAATTTCCCAGCAGAATTGTAGAAAACATTCATAAAAGCTCCTCTGATCATGGTTTGATGCTTCTCTCTTCTGAGTCTTCAAGGCCTAAAGCTAAAAGGAGATTCTATTTTGATAGAAGATGGATTCATAAAGTTTGAGATAGAGAAGTGGTGGCTGCAGCTAAGGACAAACCTCAGAGTGGTACACCCATGTTTCAGTTTT